AATTTATACTAACCTAAAAAATTAGACAAAAGTTTCCACAGAACAAGAATATATTATGTATATATATTCCTTAATTTACTAGTACTCATTAATAATTGTATTCATGAATATAGGAAACATTTATTAAAATGTACTATTACAAAAGTGAAAGGAAATGAATTTCAGAATTAGAAAGATCTGGCTTTGAATCCCAACACCACCAGTCATTAGCTGTAAAATTTAGGGAAAGTTTCTTATATTCTCGGAGCCTCCTTATGTGAAAATCAGGGTAATAATATCTACCACATAAGGTTGTTGTAACATTTAAATAAAATAATAAAATATGTCAATATCTTAACATGTTTCCTAATACAGTACTGCTTGGTAATTAATGACTTTTTTAAAAAACTGCACTCAGCAGTACTTTCAAAGCCATTCATTTGAAAAGAGGATTGTTTTACCTTTCTATGAATAAAGAGTTCATTTGAGGCTTATTCCAAGACAAATGATGAGTCTGCTCCAGAGAAATTTGTTTTCATCATTTCCTCATATTAAACAGATATAAATGTGGCATGAGATACCAGATTCAAGGAATATTACATTATTTTTTTTCTAGATTATAATTATCCATAGTATCAGAGAGTAGAATGGTGGTTACCAGGGGATTTGGGGTAGGGGGAAAGAGGAGATGTTGACCAGTTATACAACGACTAAATTCTGGAAAATTAATGTACAGAATGTTGACTATAGCTAACAATGATGTATAATATATTTGAAATTTGTTAAAAGAATGAATATCAAGTGTTTTCACCACAAAAAACATACACACACAAATGATAACCAAGTGAAATGACGGATGTGTTAGCTTAATGGTGATAATCATTTTACAATTTATGTGTGTATCAAAACACCATGTTGTACATCTTAAATACATACAATTTTAATTTGTACATCACATCTCAATAAAACTAGGGAAAATTATTCTAGCTTGTTACACACCTATCAGAGTTGGCCAGAAATCCCATTTTAATCATGTATTAGGAAGTCTTCACAAGGTTTCTTTTAGAGATGTTGAAGAATCTGGAGAGGTATACGAGGTGCTTAGCAAACAGGGGCAGGGGCTTCATTTTTTCTGAATTTTGTCATTGGTACCTAAAGGTGCTGTTTGTTCAACCCAATAGCAGAAGGGCTCTCCAATCTCTCTGTCAGGAATGCACAACTATATAGCTTCCAAATCATTGTATTCTTCTCTTTTTTTATTTGGCGTATAACATAAGTGCTTATTGCTCGTGAGTGTGAGGTCAGCTTGCTGGGTGGCTCTGGGATCTCAGCTGAGCTCGCTCACATGTTGGAGGTGTTGGCTTTCTGTGAGCTGACCCAGACTGGGCTGGCTGGGGCGATAGGACTCTACTTCACTTAACTCCCTCCCCCGTCCACCTGTCCGGAGCATGTTCCTCCAAACCCTCGTCCCTTGCTGGTCAGTCCCTTGGGCCTGGGCGTCCATCCACGTACCATCCCATAAGAGACCTGTCACCTCTGTGGATGTAGAGTGAGAGTGGGAGCACAGGCCCTTCCTACCCCACCCTAGTCCCAGCTCCCTTCTGGAACTGCCACCAGTGATTCCCTCTTGCCTCTTCAATCTTGAAGAACATAACTTTTTTTCTCCAGGTAGTTGAGTGCAGCCTCTTCTACAT